CATTAGTGTTAGTGTATCTTACGTGTGGCCCAAGACAATTCTTCTTCTTTCAATGTGGCCCAGGGAACCCAAAAGATTGGATACCCTCACTCCTGCCCTAGATTAAAATCTTGAGTTATATAAATTCTCTGTGCCTCAGTTTCCTCATCTATAAAATAGAAATAACGATACCTACTTCAAAAAGTTGTGTGCTTTAAATGTAATAATGGGTGAAAAGCACTTAGCACAGTGCCAATACAAAGCAGGCAATATATAATAGTTACTATTATTTCAGTTATTTGTTACTGACATTGTCTTTCTATCTCTATTATCTCACATCTTCTCTTGCAACCACATTGCAAAACATCACTTTGCTCCCAGTTTCACAGATTCCTTGCTCTTTCTGGCTTCTACCTCTGTTTATGGTGAATGTACTACAGCTCGTTCCCTCCACCTTTACCCTCTAAACCCACACAGAACACATCAACCTGCCACTGCCGTTTCCAATTTTCAAGGTCTAGATTAAATCTGCAAAGACTTCCCAGATTAATTTGCTCACCACTCAATTGCAAGGGTTTTACCTTTTATAGCATTCTTCACAGACAGCATTGTATTATAGTTGCTTTCGTAGGCAAAAGCCTCTAATTGTCTTCTGAGGCAAGCATACTGCTTTATTAACCTTTGCTTTCCCTATGGCCAGCCTAAATACAGTACATAATAGGCTAGTTAGAACTAAAAGTCTGAAATTCTTCATTTGGGTTCTCCAGAATAAAGGGCAATTAGCAACCTCTGCTTCTAGAGCCCACCAGGATTCTGCATTGCATGCATGGGTAGGCCATAAAAGGAACTGATCCAGGAATCAGAACCAACAATCTGAAAATATGTGTGAATTGTGCATCCTTACAGCATTTTGAACAATAAACACTTTTGGTGGCTGAAACCCCTAATGATGAGAATTCATAATTACTGGATTGTATGTGTGCTGGTGTGTGTCCATGCATGCACACATGTGTGCAAGTCCAAATGCCAAACCTCTGTGTTGTGTGGCTTCCTGCATGTTTTTCAAGGTTGCAAAACCCACTAACCAGAGCGTATTTAGCTTTAGCCTTGGCTTATAAGAGAGCTTTCACTGTGTTGAAATCTAAGGCAAGTTTTGTTTTTGTTTTTGTTTTTGTTTTTGAAGGTCCTTAGAGTAAGGCAAGTATTTTTTAACAAAAGTCAAATGTGCCCTTTGGGTGAATTGAATTCCTCGATCTCACAGTGATCTTCACACAATGACGAAGTCACCTAACATTGCATTTCTCAGAATGTATCTGTATTAGTCCATTCTCACACTGCTATAAAGAACTACCTGAAACTGGGTAATTTATTAAGAAAAGAGGTTTAATTGACTCACGCTTCTGCAGGCTACACAGGAGGCATGACTGGAAGGCCTCAGAAACTTACAATCATGGCAGAACGTGAAGGGGATGCAAGCACCTCCTTCACGTGGTGGTAAGAGAGAGAGACAGTGAAGGAGGAAGTGCGACACACTTTTAAACCATCAGATAGTGTGAGAACCCACTTACTATTACAAGAACAGAAAGGAGAAATCTGCTCCCATGATTCAATCACCTTCCACCAAGCCCCTCCTCCAACATGAGGATTATAATTTGACATGAGATTTGAGTGGGGGCACAGAGCCAAACTACTTCAATATTCCTATTGTTAATTGATGCACAACTATAGTTATACTAAAAATTATTTGCTGTTTATCTGAAATTCTAATTTAACTGGGTCTCCTATCCTTTATCTGGCAAACTTACTATGGAAATAAATGAAGACCACCCAAATGAGAACAAACATAGGTTATTTATTCAGAGCTTGCTACAGAAAGAAAGTCAGCCAACATAATTTGTGGTTAGCATAGATTCAAAAACAGGCAGGGGAGTGGGAAAGAGCTTCAGGTATGCCCTGGTTGGAGGGCTAACTAGGAGTTGGGCATGTTATTGATTGGTCTGGGGAGCAGATTTGGCTTTCTCCAGTCAGACATAAGTTGGAAGCTAGGGCAAAAAACAGGGCAGTTTTTGATGAAGACCTGACTGTTCTGGACCAGCTGCTGAGGAGATTGTGGTTTGAATTCCCAAGACAGCTGTTGGTAGTTTAGGTGCTAGAAAGGTGACTGCAGAGGTGATGGTTTGGCAAGGGATCAGAATAGACATTTCTCCAAAGAAGATATACAAATGGTCAGCAAGTACAGAAAAAGATGGTTGACATTGTCAGTTATTGGGTAAATGCAAATCAAAATCACAATGAGATGTTACTTCAAACCCACTAGGATGGCTATAATCAAAAAGATGGGAAATAACAAGTGTTGCTGAAGAGGTAGAGAAAGAAGAACCTTCATACATTTCTTGTGGGAATGTAAAATGGGAAAGCTACTGTGGAAAACAGTTTGGCACTTCAAGTTAAACACAGAGTTAGTGTATGACCCAGCAATTCCACTCCTAGCTGTATACCCAAGAGAAATGAAAACATATGTCCATAGAAACACTTGTACATATGCCGAGGCCAGGTTGGCTGTAGAGACCCCAACCCAGGTGGTGCTAAAGGAATTAAGAAACAGAAACAGAAATAGAAAGTAAAAGGTGGGTTCAGAGTGGGGATCAGGGGTCTCCCACCATTTCCAGCTGAGAGTCCAGAGCAGACTCTGACCTACATATTTATTCTTTACTTTCCAGTGACAAGTTTTACAAGCGGATGCTCTGTGTTCTTTCATTGGTTAAAGGTAAACTAACCAGGCAGCTAGTATATGTTTACTACAGGTTAAAGACAAACTAGAAAGCGCTCTTTAGAGAGAACAAAGGAAAGAGTCACATATTCTGTATTCAGATAACTAATTCATCTGCTGTGAGACATATTCATATCGGTTACTGTTTTATAACCCTTTTAGCAGTTTTCTGCCTTGGGGGGCTGACTAGGTCTTCCTTGCCACCGCTCTCAGTAAACAATATGATTTCTCACACACGTCAGAATTTGCTGTCAACACACATAAATATTCACAGTAACATTATATACAGTGACCAAAAAAGTAGAAAGACCCTAAATGTCCATCAGCTGATGAATTGATAAACAGAATGTGGTACATCCATTTAATAGAATATTATTCATCAATAATAATTAATGAAATTCTAATACATGGTACAGTGTGGTTGAACCTTGAAAACATTATACAAAATGAAATAAGCCAGTCAAAAAAAGGCTACATATTGTATAATTCTATTTATATGAATTATCCAGAATAGGAAAATCCATAAAGACAGAAAATAGATTAGTGGTTTCCAGGGCCTAGGAGGAGAGGAGAGTAGAGATTGACTGCTAATGGTTACAGAGTTTCTTTTTGGGGTGATGAAAATGTTCTGGAATTAGTGCTAATGGTTGCATAATTTTTGTGAATATATGAAAAATTATTGAATTTTAAAAAATACTTTAAAAAATACTGATTTTCCTTAGGGTACATTTTCTACTCACCACTTGTAATAAGTAAGGTATGTCTTCTAACTTTTGCAGCCCTCCTAAATGTACACTACCTGGACAACTGTACAAAACGGACCTGATTTTGGTCTCTTGCCATTGTTCTATGTTCTTCCACAGACATAGCTTCAGTGTCTTCTAACTCAGTCCATTAGTTATGACTGGCAAATGCTGCTAGAGATCCACATAGAAGACTTGAGAGGTTATCCAGGCCACTTTTTAAAATAGACTATTTCAGGTGATATAGTAAGGACTACAAAATATTCTAAGAGTTTAGAAAGGTTAAAAAATAGTTATGGCTTTTTTCTTCCTTTTCTTCTGTTTTTATTCTCTCTATAGTCTTAGCAAAGATGATTGTCATGGCCTCTGGTTAATTTTAATCATCTCGAGGAAACTAGAAGGCCATAAATTGCAGCTCTAATGCTCCTTTAGCTGTCTCTGCTTCAATATCTACAGCTATTTTGCTTATGTTTGCTTAAAGTCAACTGCAATAAGCTAGTTGACTTTAAGATGGTAAAAGCTTTATATTTTACCTTTCTCACTGCTCTGAACACTTTTTCAAAGGTCTATTGGTAATATATGTTCTAAACCAGCCATCCTCAACACCATATAACATTTATATAACCTGAGAAATACTTTTTAGATGCTTTAAGCCCCAGACCCAGGTTAATTGGCCTGGGGTGGAGTCTGATATCGATATCATTTTTGTTTTATTTTGATTTTGAGATGGAGTATCACTCTGTCACCGAGGCTGGAGTGCAATGGCACAATCTCAACTCACTACAACCTCTGCCTCCCAGGTTCAAGCAATTCTCCCGCCTCAGCCTCCCGAATTGCTGGGACTACAGGCACCTTCCATCATGTCTGGCTAATTTTTGTATTTTTGTAGAGATGGGGTTTCACCATGTTGGCCAGGCTGGTCTTGAACTCCTGACCTCAAGTGATCTGCCTGCCTTGGCCACCCAAAGTGCAGGGATAATAGGTGTGAGCCACTGTGCCTGGCCAAAAATCAATATTTTTAAAAAGTTCTACCTGGCAATTCCAATGGAAAACCAGGATTGATGAAAACTGCTCCAAAAACACAGTTATTAGAATCCAAATCACTGACAACAACAAATCCTGGGGAGGATGTGGAGCAACAGGAACTCTCATTCATTGCTGGTGGGTATGTAAAATGGTAAAACCAATTTAAAAGGCAGCTTGGCAGTATTTCTTACAAATCTATACATACTCTTACTGTGCAATCCAGTAATTGCACTTCTTGGTATCTACCCAAAGGAGTTGAAAACTTGTGCCCGGATATGGTTTATAGCTTTTTAAAAATGGCATCTTTAAAGGCTTTCCCAGATAATCCCAACCTCTCTGTCTTTGCATTGGTGTCAGTTGACTTTCCCCATTTGAGATGCCTAACTTTCATGGTTCTTCATATTCTGAGTACTTTTGAATTATATGCTGGACATTTTGAATATCAGGTTAGGAAACTCTTGAACAATTTCTGTTTTTGTTTTAGATAAAGGGATCTCACTCTGCTGCTCAGGCTGGAATGCAGTGGTGTGATTATAGTCCACTGTAGCCTTCAACTCGTGGGCTCAAGGGATCCTCCTGCCTCAGTCTTCACAGTAGCTAGCACTACAGGCATGTGTCATCACACTCAGCTATTTTTCATTGTTTTTTGTAGAGACAAGTTCTCACTATGTTACACAGGTTGGTCTCAAACTTCTAGCCTCAAGCCATCTATCTTACTTCAGCCCGCAAAAGTGCTAGGATTACTGTTTTAAGTCACTGCTCTTGGCCAGATAGAATGATTTCTATTTTTTCTATCTTTTAGTTCACGAATTCTTTTATTGTCTCCATCTGCTATTGAATCCATTCACTGAGGATTTTTTTCCTTTGTTATCATGTTTTCCACTTCTAAAATTTCCATTTGTTTATTCTTTAAATATTCTTTTTTTGTGCCAGGGCTTTTTTACTTGTTTCAAAAGTGTTCATGATTGCTTATTTAAGCATTTTTTTTTTTAGACAGAGTCTCTCTTTGACGCCCAGGCTGGAGTGCAGTCACGTGATCTCAGTTCACTGCAACCTTCGCCTCCCAGGTTCAAGCAATTCTCCCAAGTAGCTAGGTTTACAGGCACACGCCACCACTCCCAGCTAATTTTTTGCATTTTTAGTAGAGACGGGGTTTCACCATGTTGGTCAGGCTGGTTTTGAACTCCTGACCTCAAGTGATCCACCCGCCTTGGCCTCCCAAAGTGCTGGGATTACAGGCATGAGCAATTGCGCCCAACCTACACATTTATAAAATAGCATCTTTAAAGGCTTTCCCAGATAATCCCAACATCTCTATCTTAACAGTGGTGTCGGTTGATTGTCTTTTCCCATTTCAGTTGCCCTGTTTTCCTGGTTCTTCATATTGTGAGCAATATTGAATAATATGCTGGACATTATGAATATCTGGTTATGAGGCTCTTAGTCTTGTGTAAATGCTATGCATATGTTGCTATTTCTGTTTTAGCAGATGATATACCTGGCTTCACAGGCAACCACCATAGTCCTTGTCCCTATGGTGGGGCCAGGGCAAGAGAGGGCCCGGGGGCCGGGGTGGGGGGGGGAGGTCCAGTTAAAAATGGAGTGAGTTTTGAGGGGAGCACTGTTTGAGGTATTTGAATGCTCGAGGCATATGAAAGAGCAGACAGAGGTCGGATTCCATTATCTTCACTGGGGATGAAAATTGGGGGTGTGGGACATGCGACTGGGAACTGCAAACCTCCCCTCCCCACCCTGGTAGCTGCGCATGCTCTTTGGGCACCGGCCTCAGTGCGCATGTTCACTGGGCATCTTCCCGTCAGCCCCTTTGTCACGTGGCGAATGCCCGGGAGCTGTGAGGGTGTTCAGTGGCTTTCCTGCTGTTTGGAATCTTCTTCCTCTACTGAAACTCGTCTGGTAGGTCCGCAGGCCAGTCCTCCCAGGGGCTGAAGAGTGAGGGTGAGGAGGAGCCAGGTGGCTTTGGGCGGGTCCCATGGGTCCCTCAGTGTGGTGGTCCGTGGCTTTTGAGGGAGAAGGGCCTCAAGGTCGTACCCCTTCTCCTCACAGTTTGTGACACCACCATCGGCTCTTTGGTCATCAAGGGGCCAGGACAGGGAGGAAGGTATGCCACGGAGGGAAGGCAGTCAGGGGCTCAGGTGAAAATGGGGCAAGTGCTGGGGGTGCTGTTGGAGGGGTGGAAGTCCCGAGGCTCCAGGAACCCATGATACAGGGTGCATTCCTGAGTCCTGAATGGGGCTCCGGGCGGGGGCAAGGTGGGTGGTAAGGAAGGGGTCTGGCACCTGGAAAGGCTGAGGCTCCCCTCTCCCCACCATGGTGTGGAGTGGGGAGCGTACCAGTAAGAAGCTTTGCAAGGTGTCACCTCAACTATGGAGGGTCCAGAAACAATGAGGAGGATTTGGCGAGGCTGTGCGGTCCAAGCAAACCTGATTTGAGGGGGGTGAATGGCTCTAGTAAGTGGGAGTGTGCCAAAAGCAGTAGTAACAGGAATTGTGATTCACTAGTGTTTTCATGTGGAGTCCACTTGTGAAACTAAACCTCATCAGAAATGTCCTCTGTCAGCAGGGCATAGTGGCGCATGTCTGTAGTCTCAGCTACCCTGGATGCTGAGGCGGGAGGATCCCTTGAGTGGGAGGTCGAGGCTGCAGTGAGCTATGATTGCACCACTGCACTCCAGCGTGAGCAACAGAGTGAGACCCCGTGTCTAAATGAAATTTTTAAATAATATCTTGTGCCTTTTGCCACATGCCTTAAGATGACTGTTCTGCCAGCTCGGGCAGCATAAGTGGTTTTGCAAGCACTCAGAAAACGTACACACTTACACTTAACACTCTGGGACTTGTTTTGAGAGTATTTTCAAAATTAAAATGACAACTTTTGGCCATCGAAGTAATCGAATATATCTGTCCTCTCAAGTGCATGTTCCCAATCACAGTTTTCTCTTTTCAGTGTGAAATATGGGTTTTCGAAGAAGATTAATCTATCCACGTATACCAATATGCTATATAGAATCTTCTGAGGTAATTGGGCCTATGCTGTTGAGTGCTTTAATTCAATGTTTTCTATTAACAGAAATTAATTTTTGTGATAGTTTTGTTGCATTAGTCTAGATACACTAATAAAGGTCTTTCATGCTGATAAAAAATTATTCTGGCATCTCATGAAGGAAACATTGACTCAGGAGGATTTTTTTTCTCTTGTGTTCTCCAGCTTTTGCCCGTGACTTCCTTCTTATGCTTTGCTTGTTAATGACAGATTGTAGACATCTATTCCAACATAGACTATAATAGCTTCCAAAGTCCTTGTGGGTAACTTTTCTCACAGTAACCTTTCTGTGGTTAGTCTTATTAACCATGTAGAACGGAGTGGGAGAAATGATTTTAGGCTCAGTTATGATGAGAAACATCTATGCATTTTGTGTGTGTATATGTATATATATATATTTTTTGACATGTATTAATAACATAACTTTTTAAATTTACACACACACACATATTCCCTTATCACAAGCAGTCCAGTGATGAGGAACCTGAAGAAATGGAACCACCAACTAAAAACCAGGATCCTGCACCTGCTCCAGAGAGAATGGATGAGGGAGCATTTGCAGCTCAAGGTGAAGGGAAAGGGAAGAAGAATGCCTGTTGGGGTGTGTGTGTGTGTGTGTGTGTGTGTCTCATGCATTGTCACATAGCAGGAACTGGAGGAAAGAAAACAATGGAAAGAATACCTGAAATTGACTGGAAAAGTGAGGAGGGTATATAGTGTGCAGCTTAGCTTAGGGAAACCCCTCACTATGATGAAATGTATCCACGTTATGAATGGCAGAATGGAGACTCGAGGATTGTGTTTTATCCAAGAACATTTGACTGGTGAATACAAAATTTGTATTTTATTTCAAAGTTTGTGTCTTCCTACCATGTATGTTGCTGTGAAAACAGTAAATGATTTTGCTGAAAGTGCTTAAAACTCAAATGCTTTACTGTAAGGTAGTTTAGTACTGGCCCAAGACTAGACCCAGTTCAGAGGAGCAGGAGCAACTCCAAAAACCTGGTTGCTGAACGTTGGTCAGTTTCCCTTGATTGATATTTTTATGTGGTAAGTTTGATAAAAGCTGGATAATTCAGGTTACTGCCGTACAGGTAGCTGGTTTAGTATGATTTTTCAATTTTTTTTTTTTTTTTTTTTTTTTTTTTTAGTTGGAGTTTCTCTCTGTCGCCCAGGCTGGAGTGCAGTGGAGCAATCTCGGCTCACTGTAACCTCCGCCTCCCAGGTTCAAGTGATTCTCCTGCCTCAGACTCCTGAGTAGCTGGGATTACAAGCATGTGCTACCACGCCTGGGTAATTTTTTGTTTTTTTAGTAGCGACCGGGGTTCACTGTGTCAGCCAGGATGGTCTTGATCTCCTGACCTCATGATCTGCCCTCCTCAGCCTCCCAAAGTTCTGGGATTACAGGCGTGAGCCACCGCTCCTGACCTAGCATGATTTTTTAAGTGGCTTTTAAGAGGTTATTAAATCCTTTAATGGTTAGAAAAAACAAACAATAAAAAGAAATTATCCTGAGATTAACATGAGATAGAAGTAATTCCTTCTAAATAAAATATTTTGAAGCAACACATTTATGCAACTCAGGTCATGGGTTATTCTAAGGATTCACTGCTAAAGGTTTATAGAATATGACTGACAGCAATGCTCATTAATTGCTGTCTACCCACTTTTATCTCAGTGTGAGACAGTATATTTGCTGTAATTCACAAATAATGTTATTTTTGGTGCTTTGTTCTACATGGGATTCATTCATGGAATATTACATGTAGGACCTTTGGACCTAAATATAACTTTATTTTAACAAAGTTAAGCTTCTATTTACCCCAATAGGTAATGGGTGTCACGACTATAACATTTCGCATAGTCTTCAAATCCATTCAGCTAATCAATCCTTCAGAAATTTGCATTGCAATTGTAGTTGAAATTCTATCCATGTTGCAGACTTCAGATTTCTTAGCTGATGCCCACTGATTTTAGTACTCTATGGCTGAATATAGGCATTGTACAAGTCCTGTGGTTTATCCTTAGATTGTCATTTAAGAGAAAGGTTTCAAACCGGGCTCGGTGCTGTGCAATGATAGTCCCAGCTACTTGGGTGGTTGATGTGAGAGGATCGCTTGAGCCTAGGGTTCGAGACCAGCCTGGGAAACATAGTGAGACCTCATTGCTAATAAATAAACAAACAAACAAGCAAGCAAATAAATAAATGTTTCGTTATATAGGAAAACAACTATGTAAAGTTTGTTTCTAGTTTCTGGTAATGTTGCAGACATAGCTCCTTACTGAACTGTAACACTTAATATTTAAGACGGTAAATTTTATGTTATGTGTATTTTTTTTTACCACAATTAAAAAAAAACACCTGTCTTCCTAAATTCAATGTAGTGGTCATATACTCTTTCAAGTTACTTTATATGTTTTCAAGACATAAAATTTATAGAAAGGTTGCAAGAACAGTATAATTAACTCATAATACCTTTTACCTAGATTCACCAGTTGTTTACAGTTTTTGCTGTATTGGTTTCATATCTCTTCCCTCCCTGTCTTATCCTGCTACCCACACACTCACACACACTTACGATATTATGTTTACTGTTATTAATGCTGAATTGTTCAGATAAAGTTTCAGGTATTATGGCCCTTTACCCTAAGTACTTGAGTGTGTGTATATCCTCAGAACAAAGCAAAAGTCATTCCCTGGATAATCACTGCACAATGATCAAACTCAGGAAATTTAACAATGAGAAACTGCAGTGATTTAATACACAGTGTATACTCAGATTTTGCCAGTTATCCAGATAATTTTTTTTTTTTTTTTTTTTTTTTGAGACAGAGTCTTACTCTGTTGCTCAGGTTGGAGTGCAGTGGGAAGATCTTGGCTCACTGCAACCTCCGCCTCCCAGGCTCAAGGGATTCTGATGCCTCAGCCTCCTGAGTAGTTGGGACTACAGGTACCTACTACTGTGCCTACCTAATGTTTTGTTTTTTTATTTTCTTTTGTATTTTTAGTAGACATGGGGTTTCACCAGGTTGGCCAGGCTGATCTCGAACTCCTGACCTCAAGTGATTCTCCTGCCTTGATCTCCCAAAGTGCTGGGATTACCGACGTGAGCCACTGTGTCCGGCCGATACTGACATTTTTCAAGAGGATAGACCAGTTGGTTTTCAGAATGTTTAGCACTTTGGGCTTTTGCGTATAGTTTCTAAAGACTGTTTTTTCACTTACCATTTATTGATGCCTACTCCCACCATATAACTTGCTAGCTGCTAGGAGTCTAAATGCTAATGAGAGACAGGATGTCAGCCTTCATTTAATATGGTAAGGACAATCAGAAGTGCAATAAGGAGTGCAAAGGAGGCAACAAAGCTGTCTGAGGGCAGTCTTCGGGAAAGAAGGGGGTAATATTTGAAAAACCCTGTTTTCCTGTTTTCTGCTAACAGACTTTTGACATAATGTTCCTGAGATTCTTATCAACACATTTATTATTATACTAGTGAAAGCTTTTATTTAATAACACCGAGAGTATGAATATTATTTCTTTATTCATATTTCATGTTTTCCTGCTTAAAATGATAATTTTGTTTTGTCTTTAAGGCCCAGAGCCTGAAACTGATAGCCAGGAACTGGTTGAGCCAATGACTGGCTGTGAACCTGGAGATGGTCCTGCTGCCAAGAAGGTGTGCCTGCCAAATCCAGAGCAGGTGAAACCGCCCCAAGAAGGTAAGTAGTCCATTAAGCATGCAAACTGTAAGGCGTCTGTTTCCACAGTATTATAATTTTCTCTTTTTTCTGAGACAGAGTCTCACTGTGTCACCCAGGCTAGAGTGCAGTAACTCGATCTCAGCTCACTGCAATATCTGCCTCCGGGCTTCAAGTGATTCTCCTGCCTTAGCCTCTTGAGCAGCTGGGCATGTGATACTGCGCCCAGCTAATTTTTGTAATTTCAGTAGAGACAGGGTTTTGTCATGTTGCACAGGTTGTTGTTGAACTCCGGACCTCAGGTGATCCACCCAGCTCGGCCTCCTAAAGTCCTGAGATTACAGGTGCCCACCACCGCACCTGGCGAATGTTTCTCTCTCTTTCCCTTTTTTTTTTTTTTTTTTTTTAATTTTTAGTAGAGCTCGGGTTTCACCGTGTTGCCCAGGCTGGTCTTGAACTCCTGACCTCAAGTGATCTGCCTGCCTTGGCATCCCAAAATGCTCGGATTAAAGGTGTGAGCCACCACACCCAGCCCACATAATTTCCTTTATAGAATTTCTTTTTCTAATCCAGAGTCCAGTTCAGGATCATGTGTTGCATGTACTTGTCATGTGGTTTTAGTTTCCTTTAATCTGGAATGGTTCCCTAATTTTTCTTTGTCATTCAGGTTACTGACATTTTTTAACAGGATGGACAGGTGGGTTTGCAGAATGTTCAGGAGTTTGAGATTTTTTGTGTATTTTTTTTTTTTTTTTTTTTTTTTTGAGACGGAGTTTCACTCTTGTTACCCAGGCTGGAGTGCAATGGCACGATCTCGGCTCACCGCAACCTCCGCCTCCTGGGTTCAGGCAATTCTCCTGCCTCAACCTCCTGAGTAGCTGAGATTACAGGCATGCGCCACCATGCCCACCTAATGTTTTGTATTTTTAGTAGAGACGGGGTTTCACCATGTTGACCAGGATGGTCTCGATCTCTTGACCTCGTGATCCACCCGCCTCGGCCTCCCAAAGTGCTGGGATTACAGGCTTGAGCCACCGCGCCCGGCCTTTTTTGTGTATTTTTAAAGACTTTTTTCACTCAGCGTTTATTGGTGGCTACTCATGCCACATAGCAGTCTAAGTGCTGGGAGTGAAAGTGCTATGACAGACAGTATTTCAGCCTTGAGTCATTTAATATGATAAGGACAATCAGAAGTGCAATAACAGAGAAGTGCAAAGGAGGCAACAAAGTTGTCTGAGGGCAGTCTTGGGAAAGGAAGAGGGTAATATTTGGAAAACCCTGTTTTCTGCTAACAGACTCCTGAAATAATGTTCCTGAGATTCTTATCAACACATTTATTATTACACTAATGAAAGCTTTTATTTAATAACACTGAAAGCATGAGTAGTATTTCCTTATTCATATTTCATGTTTTACTGCTTAAAATGATAATTGTTTTAAGGGCTGGAGCCTGAGGCTGATAGCCAGGAACAGGTTCAGCTAATGCCTGGGTGTGAGCCTGGAGATGGTCCTGCTGCCAAGAAGATCCGCCTGCAAAATCTATAGCAGGTGAAACTGCCAGAAGAAGGTAGTTAATCCATTAAGCATGCAAATTGCAGGATGTCTGTTTCCATAGTATGATGTGTGTGTGTGTATGTGTGTGTGTGTGTGCATGGGTGCGCACACGCACATGTACGTGGTTTGAAAACATCTGACCTATTTGGGAGTATGTCTCAGAATATAAGCTTTCTGATCTCTTTATGGGTGTATGTTGCAAGATATCAGGTCTAAGATCTATTTCTGGCTCTTTTTCCTAGCATGTGAGGTCTCTGGCTTGATTATGGATGTGTATTGCAGGATTGAAACCTTCCACTTCCTGGGTTCAAGTGATTCCCCTGCCTCAGCCTCCTGAGTAGCTGGGATTACAGATGTTTGCAACCATGCCCGGCTAATTTTTGTATTTTTAGTAGAGATGGGATTTCGCCATGCTGCATAACCTGGTCTCGTACTCCTGACCTTAGGTGATCCACCTGCCTCAGCCTCCCAAAGTGCCGGGATTACAGGCATGAGCCAGCATACCCAGCCCAGTATTATGTTTTTAATAACACAGAAGTAACAATACTGCCTCTTCAATAATAGAGTTCTTATATAAATATTATTTGAAACATAGTCAAGACCCCAGAATCTGATTTACAGACTGTCAGATATAGAAACAAACGGAGTCAAAGCCATATTGAATTGTAACTTTTAAGTCCTTAAACCAATAACTCATGATTTTCAGATGCTTTTGTAGAGGTCTGCTTTTAACAAATACATACCACATTTGTAACACCGATCAGTTGGTGTGAAATATGCTGAAGCACTGATGCATGTTCTATTACCAGCTCTTAAAGCATTTGTGAGATTCTTAGAGAATCCCTTACCTTCTAAACCTATCTTTGGTCTTATAAAAATAGTGAGTTTAAGTCAGATATTTTTAAATCATTTTCCATTCTGGTTCTTTCATACTCTGATTCTGTTAGATAGAATGCATAGGATACAGAGATCATCTGATTTGCTTGATTTGTTTATCATATATCATCAAACCCGGACCCGAGTCATTTGAAAACCTCTGAATTGAGATTTCATTACTACTAAGAAAATGAGTGGGCACTCTGCTTCGTGTTTGTTTTTCTGTGTGAAGACCTGAATGCCTATTCTTAGGTTCTGTCAAATTCTGAATTCTCTGGCTTTTTTTTTTTTCTTTAGATGAGTCTCACACTGTCACCCAGACTGGAGTGCTGTGGTGCAATTTCAGCTCATCGCAACTTCAGCCTCCCAGGCTCAAGCGATCCTCTCACCCAGCCTCCTAAGGAACTATAGGCACAAGCCGCCACGCCTGATTGATGTTTTTTAAAAAAAAAAAGTTGCAAAGATGAGGTCTCACTATGTTTTCCAGGCTGGGATTCTCTGGCTCTTAATCAATAATTGCTTTTTAAATCTTTCCCCAAGGAAACCTTGAGTGACTGAATAATCAAATGGTGAGAGACCATTTAGTTCCTATTTTCTGTGGGATGTAGGTCATTGATACTCAGGATGGGTGTAAGTAAGATGCCTGTGCAAAACATGCTCCCTGCTGCACTGTGAGTCTTCATGAACCACGATTTCTAATAAGATTATATCACATATATGATACAGTCACCTCTAACCATATCAGATGTTTCATGTAAATTTCAGCTTTTGAGGCATTAGTTGATAAGTTTTGAAGTTCAAAGACCATGACTCCAGTACTTCCTGAGTAATCCACTGGAGTATGTTTTACACAACTGTTTTCCAAGTTGCTGATTGTTAATTATAAGTGCTTCTGGATTTAAAGGAAGCACTTGATGTTTACGGAATTAATTACCTTTAAATTCTGTAGGTCTGCTCTCAAAGTCTATAGAGAGGTTTATTTGGATATAAGACACAGGATCATCCTTTGGGTTCTATTTTTAGTCCATTTTATAAAACCCAAACTGTAGTGTTCTTTGTGTGCCTTTAGGGTCATCTAAATAATCTGCTGCTAAGTCATGTTCCTAACTGTACGTTTCTGTTACAGGTGAAGGGCAATCACAGCATTAAAAGGAGACATGCTGAAATGATGCAGTCTGTTTCTATGTTGGAAATTTGTTAATTGAAGTTCTCCCAATAAAGCTTTACAGCCTTCTGCAAAGAAGTCTTGCGCATCTTTTGTTAATTTTATTTCCAAGTATTTGATGCTCTGAAATACGTATCATTCTTTGACATTTTATGTGCTAGCTTTTTGAGCTGGTATATAGAGGCATAATTCCTACATATTGAGCTTCTATCCAGCAACCTGTTAAATACGCTTATGAATTCTAAGTTTACTTCTAGATCCTTTTCAGTTTTCAACATACAGAATCATATCATCTTTGAATAAGAACAGTTTTGTTTCTGCCACTTTTTTTCTGTTTTCTTTTGTATTTTTTGTAGACATGGGGTTTTGCCATTTTGCCCAGTTTGTTCTTGAACTCCTGAGCTCAAGTGATCCACTCGCCTTGGCCTCCCAAAGTGCTGGGATTATAGCTGTGAGCCACCATGCCCAGCCTGTTGCTGCCATATTAAACACTTTTATTTCCTTTTCTGATTTTATAGCATTGGGCAGACCCACCTGGTGCAGTTGTGATAGTGGACATCTTTGTCTTATCCCTGATCAGAAATGGAAAAATTTCAACATTTCACCATAGTATTTACTGTATTGTTTTTGTAAATTGACTTCAACAGAGTCATTCTATTCTGTTTTAATTTGCTCAGAGTATTCATTTTGAATATATGTGGAATTTCATCAAACACTGCATCTAATGTGATCATCACTTTTTTTTTCCATTAATCTGCTAATGTAGTGAATTAGACTGATAAATTTGTACTTTTTTGTTTTAAATTTTTTAAAATTGAGACAGGTGTCACTCTGTCACCCAGGCTAGTGTCATGGTGTTATCATGGCTCACTTCTGCCTCAACCTCCTGGGCACAAGCAGTCCTCCCATGTCAGCCTCCTGAATAGCTGCAACTATAGGCACATGCCACCACATCCGGCTAGTTTTTCTGTTGTTTTGTAGAGATGAGATTTTTGTCATGTTGCGCAGGCTGCTCTTGAACTTCTGAGCTCAGGCGATCTGCTCACCTCAGCCTCCCAAAGTGCTAGGATTACAGGCATGAGCCTTGGCCTGGCCACGTTTTTCTTATATAGGGGTCTTGTCTATGTAAAGACTCAATTTACGTGTACGTTTGTGCGGGTGTACTAACAGCATGATGAAATTTATCATTCTGTTGATTAAAAGAAAACTATCCTTGACTTTCTAGTGTGTAAGTGCATCAAAGCATAACTATAATTATTGTGAAAACATATATTGTTAAGGGTTTTTGGACCCTGTACTTTCTGCTGCTGTGGGAGCATGTCCTTGTAGGTACCTTTAGTCTGTTTTCTCAACTGCAAAGATCTTAGGACCATGGGTTGTGACTGGCAAGGAATGTGGCTTGCTAGTTTCATGATGGAGTTGATTTTCAAATGATGTCATTCTGGCTGTCCTAGGCTCCTGTTTCCCTAACGCTTTGACTTCTCCTTCTGAGATTCTGATAGTACAAATGATAGATGTTTTAGTATTTTCTTACAGGTCCATGAGGTTGTATTCATCTTTCTTTCAGTTTCTTTCTCTGACTTGTTCATATCGAACAACTTCTTTTTGTTTTGTTTTAGATACATGATCTCACTCTGTTGCCCAGGCTGGATTGCAGTGGTGCAATTATAGCTTACTGCAGCCTTGAACTCCTGGGCTCAAGGGATCTTCCTGCCTCAGCCTTCACAGTAGCTGACTACAGGTACATATCATCACACTCAGCTATTTTTAATTTTTTTTTTAGAGATGAGGTCTCACTGTTGCTGAGGGTGGTCTCAAATTACCCTGCAGTCATCTATCATCTTACTTTAGCCCACAAAAGTGCTAGGATTACTGTGTAAGTCACTGCTTGTGGCCAGATAGAACAATTTCTATTTATCTATCTTTCACTGCTCTTGGCCAGATAGAACCATTTCTATTTATCTACCTTTGAGTTCACTAACTCTTTGTCTCCATTCTGCTATTGAACCCATTCAGTGAGAATTTTTTCCTTGGTTATCATATTTTCCACTTCTAAGATTTCCATTTGTTTCTTCTTTAAATATCCTTTTTGTGTGTGTGCTGGGACTTTCTGGGTTTTTTGTTGTTGTTGTTGCAAAAGTTTGCATGATTGCTTGTTAAGCACCTTTATTCATAATTGCCAAAACTTGGAAGCAAAGTGTCCTTCACTAAGTAAATGGATTAATAAACTGTGTACAGATAGTCAGTGGAATATTATTTAGCAGTAAAGTGAAATGGACTACGAAACCATGAAAAGACATAGAGGAAACTTTAATTCATATTACTAAATGAAGGAAGCCA